CACTGCCTCTATGGAATCCCCTCTTTTCTTTTTTAAGAAAAGGGATCTTACTGTGTTGCCTAGACTAGACCTAAACTTCTGGGCTCAACCAGTCTTTCGGCCTCAGCCACCAGGTAACTAGGATTGTAGGCATGCACCGTTGTGCTGGCCCACTTTTTCTATTTCCTGTTTAGATTCCTTCCCTGCCCCTCCTCTTCTCTCTCTGCATCAATGAGAGAAACTCCATGATGAAACAAAACATAATTTGTATTACTCTGGTATTCTCAAATACCCAACTACATCTAGTAGTTACCCAGAAGATATTACTGGCCAGGTTGATGGATCAATTGAGAAGAGTGACAAATGGAAAAGGGGAACTAGATTGTATTTCTACTTCTAAAATTAATTGTTTGAAACTTGGAGGAAATTGGTCATTCTCTCCAGGTCTTAATTTCTGTCCTTGGTTGATCATGGCCTCTATGAGTTGAGGGCCCTGGGCCAATGCAGCACTGTGACTCTATGGTTCTGATTAACCTGCTCTGTATCTAGTGTATGCTGCTTATTAACCACATCCAAGGGAAAGGACACTGGAAAGGATACATAGTGAACAGGAAAGCATGGCATATAGTGCCACTTTGTTTACGAACTGACTTTATGAACTGGTGCAAGACATTTAATTTCTCTGAGATTTCATCTATAGAAGCTTTTTTTTTCAGTTCAAATATCCTATAACTTACAACAATGGCATTCTGAATTAGAATTTCTGTTTATTCACATTATCCCATCCAATGTGTTTTGGGGGAAATATCACTCTAAAATATCAATAAAATTACTTTAAAATATTTTAACAATCAGTTAATAAAATCGCATGCCTTTATGAATGGATAATGTATGTTCATTTATTTCTCTCAAGTAGAAGAATTTGTCTCAAGTGTCTAATCAATGTTTATTAGCTTTGTTAGTTAACTTATTAAAATGTACAGTAATTATTCAAAAAAGTTTCCTGACTCCACAGGACTACTAGTCTCATTAGTTATGCTGTTGCACCAATGGTTTAGATAAGCCACATGAAGAAAGAGTTCAGGAAGTTCAAAGTTTTACTTATTCTCTAGAAATAAAAATGTGCTGTGCCCTTTCAAATATATCAGATTTACTTTGAGCAAATATTCACAGTAAGACCTACTGATAACCCAATGGCTTAACTGGTAAACTTTCAAATGACAACACCAACATGATTGGGATTTGTAGATAAGAAAATTAATGAAAGGTGTATTGACTGGGTGCTTGCATGTATTCACATTGAAAGGATGGGTGTTCATCCAACCATTCATTCAATGAATATTTATGGAATTCTACTCTGAGCTGGGATTGGAAAAGTGGAAAGACAAGATCCTTTAACTTGGGAATCCTTTTCCCAAGATTCCCAGTCTAATTAATAACAGTAGGAACCTGTAAATAGTTACAGTGCTCTACTAGAAGTTCTACACCATGGTATACACAAAAGGAAAGGAAAGGCAATGCAAAAACACTTTGTAAATAATGCCTAGAAATAAGAACCAATAGATTTAGACTCCTCACAAGGACCACAGATGTTGAATAAGATTCAGAATATAGAATGGCTATATGTGAAATAGTAAAAGGAAAATATACAATGATAAAAATGAGTATACATATAGAAAGGAACCTATGGATTTGAGAATAAGAAACATAAGACATCTAAAAATGTAAATTGTTGAAATCTAAAACTCAATAGACTGGTTGAGCATATGCAGTAAAGATAGAAAAGAAAATATAATATATTAAAGAGACAAGGAGGCTAGCATGGGAAGGTCTAATCAGAGCCATAGAAGAGGATGCTGGGAAGAATCCTAGCCTCTACCCCACATGTCAGCAGCACTCACTCTTCTCAGTTGTGCAAATGAATACACTCACATGTCTTTGGGGGACCAAACCATTTCAGGGAAGAACCACTGTCATAAAGAACATGTGAGAAACAAAAATCACTGTTCTATTTCATTCATGGTTGTGGGAACCAAAAATCATATAGCAATGGAAAACTGAATTTAAAAGCAAATAAAATGCTAAGATCCCATTGGATTGTCACTTGAAATGCAAAGATAGTTGCGTACTTGAAAATCTGTAAATGTCATAATGTTAACACACTAATAAATTAAAGAAGAAAAATCTTGTCCTTTGAGTGCATGTATACATATATGTACATATATTAAAATATCCACAGCATCCAGCGACAGGCAGTGCCTTCCCTCATTTGCTCCTTTGATCTGTTCCTTGTAAGAATCCATGTGAACTATGAATCAGAAAACATGCTTTAGGTTCAGCACTGTGCCTGAGATCAGGGGATACCAGTGCAACTGAGCTAATCAGAATCTTCTGCTTCTCCACAGGTTTATATCTCTTTAGAGGAAAAAGTTAAAGAAAAAGATTAGCTAACAAGGCCATTTGCAAATGTTTCAATCCCATTTAAGAGGAGACTCTATATTTATTTTAATAGCACCACAAATGTCCACTAAAATGTTGATTTGTACTTAAAAAGCAATTCAAATATATATTAATGCCAAGAAAAAGTCTTTTAAAATGACTGCTTAATTCTATGGCTGTAGCATTCAACACAATGTTGTTTGAAACCAACTGACCTTTACCGTTTCGAGCTAGTGAAAGAACACGGATGACTCATTAGTGCACTCACATGAAGTTTTTGCGTAGTGGCTGGCACAATGCTCATTTGCTGTGACTTTAGAATGCACTGGATTGCAAAAGAACCTCTATTATTTTTTATTTAACTATGTATATAAATAAATCTGAGATCATGGTATGGACAACAATTGAACAAGCTGAATCTCTAACATTACTATCTCCACCAAATAGTAGCTTACAGAAACAAGGAAAAGATGCTAAAACGAATGAGACTGAGGGAAGGGTCCTTTGCGGGCAATGGGCTCCAATCCATGGTACTACCTGCGGTTCTACATTCTGGGAAGGGGCATGTCAATGTTATCTCATTATCAAACTCTTGAGTCTCACCAATACTGACCTCACTTTTACACAGTCTGTACAAGAAGACTTCAATTTAATGAAGCCATGGAAAGCTCTTTTCTCAATATTTTAACATTTATATGAGCCACCAAGAGTAACTAACTTCAATTAAAATAGGATATGAATGAAATTAAATGAGCTAGGGGGTATAAAGTTTAACATGCTTTATCAACCTAACAGCTATTATAAACTAATAATAAAAACTGTTATACCTAACAATGGCTAATTACTGCACTAATCACTGGGAATGTATCCATAATAATGACAATGATGATCATAATAACACCCAACTAAAGAGAAACAGTAAGTTACTGCCTCGCAGACAAGGAAAATGTCGTGAAAAATGATATTCTCATTTTACAAGACTGCATTGTCTTTAGTGGCCATCACCACCCTGGTCCCGACTCCTCCTCTTCCCTGTCATTGAATCCATACTGAGAACACTACCACAAAATAATCACATCCAGAAATAAGCATTATTACACTTGACGAAAAAGAGCCTGGATGAATTTAGGACTTGCCTTTGTGAATTTCTACCTTTCCAGGCAGAGGACCCTGTCTGAGGTGAAGCCTGTCTCAGGAAGGCTCTGATTCCCTTGTCCTTGAACACATCCAAAGTGTTTCCTGTTGCTGCCTGTCCAAGCCTGCTGGAAGATACTAATGAAAGGAACTGGATCAAAGATCCAAACTCGGCAGTCCCCACACCCAGAGTCCCAGCCCCAGGCATCCTCTGTAGGGACATCTTTTGTCTATTCTTTCTCCTACCAACTTACTCACATGGGCCCCCCATTAGGAGTAGATGTCATTAGGAAGAAAAAAAAATAGTGTGATTTTGTAAGGCCAATGGTAAAACACAATTAGGACCAATGCTTTTATACTGTGAAATTAAACTAATAAACAACAATCCTGAATACATAAAATGTCTGGGCATTTTAGCAACATGAATAGACAGGGGGAAAGTCAAAATAGTTATAAGGCATGGCACAAGTGTTCCCTTTAGTCTAAGATTTCTCTTCTTAAAGCTTAAGAAAAGGAAGCACTCTCTGGCTCCCATTCCGTTCCTGTAAGAGCAGCAACTGAGTTAATATTCAAAGGTACAATGCTCCTACTTTGTGCTAGTCACTATGCTAAGTGCTTACGTGCATTATCTTATTTAATTCTCATAGCAAATTTTGTGACTTTTTGATAACTAGCATTATCCTAAGTTTTACGATTAAGAGAGTCTTAGAATGTTGAAATACTTTGCCCAAGGTTACACAAATGGTAAGTGACACAGCTAGAACTCAAATTCTAGTTCACTTAACCCCATGCTATAATGTCTTCAAACATCATTTTATAAGGTTTGGGCAAATGTTTCAATCTTTCCTACTAATCAATGAACTCCTTCAGGGAAGAATTTATTCCTCATTAATTTTTATATTTCCAGAGCATCAAATAATGCCTAATACAGAGCAGAAATTCAGCGAGTGTCAAATGAATAAGATGACAAATCAATAAACAAAGGAAGGAAGGAATTAATTTTAAAAGGAGACAGAGCATTGAAGTTTATGCAAAAAGTTAATTCTGCACTAAGAATACTATTCCTGTGGTTAGTTTTGTGCCTCTGCCTTTCTATTGTAGCAACATATGAGTATTTTATGATAAGCACCATTTTTACTTTAGAATTAAATGAAATGCTTTCAAAAATATGTACTTTACCCAGGGATTTAAATGAATGATTGAAATTCCATAATCAGAACATGACACAACCAAACCAGCATATAATCATATGTTTCCTATAATAAGCTACTTGAAGTGTTCTAATGGGTTACAATTTTGTAATCTAGGCATGAGAGGAAGATCTGTGCTCTTGACAATATTCAACACAAGCACTTCAACTGGCTCTGGATAAAAGAGAAACCCCTCTTTTGCATTGCATACATGCTCTCTTTTTTCCTTATCAGTAAGCAGACAGTCTTAACTGTTACCTTCACATCCTCTGCCATCTTCTTCCAGCTGCTGGCCAGCTTGACATTTGCAATAATAACTGCCAATTGTATTACAGCACTGGTCCTGACAGCCACCATTGTCAATAGTACATTCATTTATATCTGCAATTGAATAGTTAAACAGAATCAATCTCCTGAAACTAAACACACAGAAAGAAATTTCAGTGGCTCTCCTAAAAATGAACCAGCACCGTGACATCATCCTTTGACCGCAGATTAAATGAAATAGACTGGCATCTCATTTTAGTTAGAGCCTATGCACTCTAGGTTTGATGTAAAGAAAGAGACACATTATAATCTTTGGTATCTGAAATGCTACTTTTGAACAGTGAACTGAGGACACGGTGTGGCTTTTCATGTTGTGACATGGATTTTGGAGACTTACAGTACAGATCCAGATATTTCACATCCAAGTCATTGTTTGAGGATGAGTCTGAGAACAGAGACAGAGATTAGAGTCAGGACACTAGGTCACCTATTTGTTGTTATCAGTTCCTCAAATAAATAACTGCTGAGCATCTCCTCTTGCATATTCTGCCATGTGCCAGACAATGGGAGGAAGGAGAGCCGGTCGTTCTGTAGTTTCCAAAGGTTGACACCTAGCTGGGATTGAGGACTAACCAAGTGTGATATGTTGTGTTCATGGATTGGATATTCCCATTTCTAATCCTGTGACTAGACTTCATATTTCAGACAGAGCTGAATTTTATGTATTCCTACTATCCAACTGTAGCTTACAAATATTCCAACCTCTCTGCAACTTTGACAGTGGCCTGTGAGGTGACTTGTTACCAAGGTTCCAAGGTTCCTTTTTTTTTTTTTTTTTTCCTTGACTGGGGATTTAGCCCAAGGGCTCTTTACCACTGAGCTATATATATCCCAAGCCTTTTAAAATTTATATTTTAAGACAAAATCTAACTAAGTTGCTGAGGTTGACCTTGAACTTGCAATCCTTCCTGCGTCCAGAATTGCTGAGATTATGTGTGCAGCATTGCTCCCAGCTGATTTGCTACTGAAGTTATACTCAAAAAGGGCACCTCTACTTCATGTTGACAAGCTGACTTGGATAGATCTTTTCCCATGAGATGAGTGTGCCCGGAAGAGACAGTGGGTGGAAAGTGCAGAGAAAGTGCATAGGTGAAGGTGGGAGAGAGTGTTAGAAGACCTAGAGAGAGAAAGAGAATGAGTTAGTCGGGAACAGCAGAAGAAAAATGAAAGCAAGACAGAGGAGCTGTGCCATCATAATGTAGCCTGCAGAGAGGGGAACAACTGGATGCAGGAGCAACAGGGTACCAGGCAGAGGGATCTTGACTGTGCCTCTTGACTGGATACCATTGATTTTGTCTGCCCCTCAATGTGCTGCTTTTGAGACTGCTTTTACTCATTGTTAGTTAACTTTTCATTGAAACTGTGTCTTATATATAAAAAAGTATACAATTCCTAACTACACACTTTAAAGATTTTGCAGAAATAAAAATATATCAATGCATTTTTTTTTCTTTATCATGTGTGTGTGTGTGTTGCTGGGGATCAAACTCAGGGCCTTGTGCATGCTAGGAAAGTGCTCTACCACTGAGCTACATCTTAGCTCACCAGTGCAATCTTAACACACCACTAGATCATGACTAACACCCAAGAAAAACTCTATCTTACTTAAGGTAACTATCTTGATAATGTATATATAGAATCATACCATAAATAATTTGTGTGTCTGTGTGTGTGTGTGTGTGTGTGTGTGTGGCTTCTTTTGTCTGTAATTCCCGTTTATAACACATATCATGTTGTTGCAAATACTTATAGTTCATCCATTCTTATTACTGTATATTATTCTGTTCTACAAATATACCACAATATTTGTTTATCCATTTCACTGATGATGGACAATTGGCTATTTTTTGATTTGTTTGTTTTTGGCTACTGTGAAAAGTGTTGCTGGTAACATTTCCATACATATCTTCAATGAACTTACATATGCATTCCTGTTGGGTAATATATCTGAGACTGGCTTTTCTTGGCCAAAAGGTATGACATGTTCTACTTTAGTAGTTATAGCCAAATTGCCTTCTAAAGAGATTATTCTGATTTACACTCACACCAGCTGTGTATTGGGGACCAGATGCCACTCATTTTTGCCAACATTTGGGATTTTCTGTTTTTTCATTTCAGCTCTTCTGAGGAGTTTATAATAGCATCATGTTGCAAATTTAATTTGCATTTTCCTGATTATTAATTAGGTTAAGCACATTTTCATGTTATTGGCCATTTGGATGACATCTTGTTGAAATGCTTATTCAAATATTTTGTCCATTTGTTCAATTCTTAAAATATTGGTTCTTTTACTTGTTGGTTTTCAAGTGCAATGTTAAATAGAAGTGATGGCAATGGTCATCTTTGTCTTCCTTCAGATCTTAGAAGGATAGTTTTTAATTTTCCTAGTAGGTTAATGTGTGCTGTAAGTTTGGAGATACATCTATATTTCTATTTCCATCTCCATCTATCTATCTAAAGAGATTAGTTTTATCAATTAAAAATTATTTCCACTTCTTGTTTTCTACATATTTGTATCATAGATGGTAAATTTTATTTACTGCTTTTTGCGAATCTATAATCATATGATCTTTCTTATAAATTCTGTAATGTAATGAATAACATTGATTGATCATTGCATCTCTGAAATAAACTTGATCATGATACACTAATTTTTATATATGGGTGTGTGTGTGTGTATGTATATATATATATATATATATATATATATATATATATATATATATCAGTCAGTCAGCTAATATTTTGTTGAGAATTTTGTGATTAAGTTCATGGGAGACATTTGTCTGTACTTTTTGTATAATATTCTTATAGTACTAGGTTTAGGTGCCCATGTTGTACTGGATATGTAAAACAAATTGGAAGCTCTTTCTCTTTGTCTCGTCTCTGAAGAAACTGTATAATATTGGTGTCATTTCTTACTTAAATGTTTGGATGAGTCCATTTATGATGCTATCTGGGGCCTCGGATTGTGTGTTTGTGTGAGTAAACTTATTAATAAATTTAATTTATTCAAAGGGGAACAAAGGGAAGGGAAGTGGGATGGAAAAAGGAAAGACAGTGGAATGAATCTGGCATAACTTTCCTATGTACATACGTGAATAGACCACAGGGAACCTCACTATCATGTATATCCACAAGAAATTTTTTTAAAATATGGGTAAATGACAGAAAGATCAGCAGAGAAGGGGGAAGGGGTGGGAGTAGGGGAGGGGAAGGGGATATACTAGGGACCTAATTAGAACAAGATACATTCCATGCTTTCATAATTATGTCAAAATGAGTCTACTGTCATGTATAACTAAGAAGAACCAATGAAAAAGATTTTAAAAATCAATTTATTGACTATATATGATATTTAGTTTTAATTTAAACATGTTAGAAAAGTTATGTTTTGAGAAATTTATCCATTTAATATAAATGTTCCAGTGCACTATTGTTAAACTTTTTATAATATTCTCTTACTCTCTTTTGAATGAGTGTCCAACTTGTAGTTAGGCCCCCTTCCCTACAGTTGAAATTCATAATATGTGCATCCTTTCTCCTCCTCCTTCTTCTTCATATTAGAAATTGAATCCAGGGGTGCTAAACCACTGAGCCATATCCTCAGCATCCCCTCCCCGCATTTTTAAAATTTTACTTTGAGACAGTCTTACTAAGTTGCTGAGGCTGGCTTTGAACTTGTGATCCTGCTGCCTCTGGTCCTGAGCTGCTGGAATTACAGACATGTGCTACTATGCTTGGCTCTTCTTTTCTCCTTGACCAGTTTTATAAGGGAGTTATCAATTTTATCTTCCCATCTATCATCTCTCTATTCTGTCTCAGCTCTCTATCTTAGCTATCTCCCTCAGCTCTATATGATCTGTCTGTTTTAGTCATTCCAAGAAGAAGATGTTTTTTGGCTTTATTAGTCTTTCAGTATTGCATATTTTCCCACTTAATTAATCTGTGCTACAATCTTTACTATTGCTTTTCTTCTACTTTGGGTTTCTCACAAGAGGGAGATTTAAATAGTTGCTTAGTTTTTCTTCTTTTAAAAATGTTTCTGGTTATCTATCAACATGCATCTAGCTACCCCAACAGCAAATGATTTAAAAAGACAATTGATTGTTACTATTTTTCTCATTTCTGGGGATTGAAGGCTTAGCTGGTTGGTCCTCACTTGTGGTCCCACAGGTAGCGGAATCAGTGGCAGATGGGACTGTACTTATAGACAGGCTTTTCATTTACATGCTGGGATAGGACGGCAGTGATTGGGACATGTGTGTGGCTGGTAGAGTGTTTCCCTCTCTCTCCATGCAGCCTCCCTGCTTAATGGTCTCGAGAGTTCAGATGTATTTTATGGTAACTATCATTCCCCTGAAGGACCATTCCCAGAGATCCAAACAGAAGCTACATGCTTCTTAGGATCTAGAAGTCAGACAGAATCACTCCTCAGATATTTATTGACTAAGTCAGTCACAGGACAGCTGAGAATTGAAGAACAGGAGCAATACCTCCTCTGAACATAGCCTTGCTGAACCCAGTGTATTGCACCAATGTGTTCATTTGATGTGATATATTTTCCTAAAAATAGAGTATTAGCTATATCCCACAATTTTTGATATGTTTTATTTTAATTATCATTCAACTCAAAATATTGCATAATCTACACTGACATTTCTTTCTATGACTATTTAAAGTGTATGTTGGGTGTTTTTCAAATCTTTGAGGAAATTCTAATCATCTCGTTATTATGAAATGCTAGATTAGTACCATGAACAGAGAATATACTCTGTGTAAGTTCAATTCTTCAAAATTTTCTAAAGCTTGATCATGCGAAATTAACACATGATCAATTTTGGCTAAAAAAAGTATATTTATTGGAAAAAAATGTATATTCTGCAATTGCCAGATGTGTTTCTTGTATGTAGATATGTGCAAATATATACAAATAAACAAAACATATACATACACACATATTTATATGTATATATTAAATACATATGAAAATACATATGAAAATCCATTAATTACACTTTTAACTACATTAATTTCATTATTTATGGATTATC